ATCAAAGCAGAGAGAGAAGACTGACAATATTTACTAAGCAAAAATTTTGCCCACAGAGAATCCCCTTTCGAAAGTTAAACCATTGCTTAGAAACATTTATGTCAGCAATATGAAGTGATTTGAAACTCAAACCACCAGCATAAGTTGGTTTGCAAATATTTTTCCAAGGCATCCATCTTCTACCGGAATGGTTCCCCACCTATAAGAACTTGTTAAAACATCTTTCAAGGCTCAATTGGGTAATCTTTTTAATTTGGAAAACTTGTAGAGCATATAAAGGAAGAGATTGGAGAATGTTCTTAAGCAAAGTAATTCTACCCCAAATGAAAGGAAATTGTTTTTCCAATTCAAAATTCTTTTTCGCGCATTTTCCACCACCTCATCAAACTGAGAATGCATTTTCCTGCCCTTAAGTAAATTAACCCCCAAAAATTTAAGTGGAAGGTTAGAGAGAGAGAAACCAGTGAAATTGACAATCCAGCTTGCAATGGACCGATTGACGGTATTTCCCATTTACAAGTAACATTTATTTGCACTAAAGAGGAGACCAGAAACAGATTAGAAATCTTCCAGTAAACGATGTATTTTCCTTACCGCTTGTTTGCTAGCGTTAGAGAACAAAATAATATCATCTGCATATGCCAAATGAGTTACCAACGTATTGGATTTATGAGCATAATACAATGTGGGATTTTGCCTAAAAAGATCATTTAAAAGACGAGAGAGGTAATCAAAGATCATAATGAAAATCGTAGGGGATAAGGGGTCGCCCTGCTTAATCCCACGCCCTGCACTAAAGAACCCACGAGATTGACCATTGATGAGAATACTATATTTATTGCATTGAAGCCAGGAAAGTATAAGTTTGCAAAATGCCTGAGAGAAGCCCCGAGTCTTGAGAACATACAGGATAAAATCCCAACTTACAGAATCATAGACTTTACGAATATCCAATTTAGTAACCATTTCTTATCAATATCCATAATAAGTTCTTGGGCAAGCATAATATTGTACGTAATCCCACGATCTTGAATAAAAGCTGATTGATTCGAAGAGATTAAAGTATGAAGGTGAGGTTGAATCCTTCTAACCACCAGTTTACTAATCATTTTAGACACAACTGATGTCAGAGAAATATGTCTAAAATGATCCCACGTTATTCTTTGAGTGGATTTGGTGATGAGGACAAGAGAAGTGGCAGAGAAATAATTCCCCGGTGTTTCACCCCTTAAAAACTCTAAATAGCTTCCACCATCTCTTTCTATACAATACTCCAACATTTAATATAGAAATCAAAGGTAAAACCATCAGGCCCAAGAGCTTTGTTACAATTGATTTCCGAAATAACAAAAAATATTTCCTCAAACGAGGGAATACCACAAAGGTCAAGATCCTCCATGTGATGACGCACATCATCAAATAAAGAAATATCAATAGAGCCCGAAGTGTCATGAGAAGTGAAGAGATTAGAGAAATAGAGGACATCCCTCTCACCAAGCTCCTCATCCCCAGTGATCCAGATCCCCTCAACATTTTTAATTCTAACAATGGTATTATTAGCCCGTCGTTCAAATAAAGAAATATCAATAGAGCCCGAAGTGTCATGAGAAGTGAAGAGATTAGAGAAATAGAGGACATCCCTCTCACCAAGCTCCTCATCCCCAGTGATCCAGATCCCCTCAACATTTTTAATTCTAACAATGGTATTATTAGCCCGTCGTTGTTTAATACAAGCATGAAAATACTTCGTATTTCTATCACATTGAGAGAAACGAGTCTCCCCTGCTTTTTGTTGCAAAAGCTCCTCCTCCCAAAGGGAAGCCTCCAATAATTCTTTGTGAGCCTCCTGCAGATCAAGAATAATATCAACAAAAGACTCATCAAGCGCCTGTAACATATTGACCCTCTGTTCAGCTCTCTTAACTCTAGCGCGAACATCACAAAAAACATCCCAGTTCCAAGATCTTAAAGCAGAAGCCACCTTTTTATGAAGCTTCCAGAGAGTAAACCAAGCATTGCCCACCTCATCACATCTCCAATTAGTAGCAACAACTCTCAGAAAATCATCATGTCTGACCCAAATATTTAAATACCGAAAATGGTAAGTGGAAACTTTTTTGAAAAAAATCAAAAGAGAGGAGGGGATTATGATCAGATCCAGATCTATATAGATGTTGAACTTGAGAGAAGCCATAAGAGGATATCCACGATGGATTAGCAAAACACCTATCAAGGCGTTCAAAAAGCTTGCCCATTTTCCAAGTAAACTTGGAACCAACAAAACCCAGATCAGAGATACCGGCCAAATCCATAGCCCCAGTGAATTTATCCATTAAATTGGGGACAGCTCTCCTGCCTCCCAATTTTTCAGAGTCATGCATAATCATATTAAAATCTTTTCCCACCATCCAATTTTGGTGGATTAGAGCTCTCATACTAGATAATTTGTGTCAAAGATCATATCTTGCAACATTTGAAGTCCCAACATAAACGAAAGTGAGACAACCAGAAAATTTCTCTATATTGAAAGAGACAGGCACAAACTATCTGTCGTCAATGATGCATCAACTGTGATATGCTTCCGCCAAAACAACCAAATCTTATTAGAGCAATTAGCAAAGAAAGAAAAATGTTTAAATTTATCCAAAATACGATCATTCAGAGGGGAGACCAAATGTTCCAAAATAGAGAAAATACCGACCTTATGAATCATTGTCATTAATTTAAGTCTACCAAGGGAGTGAGTATCCGCAACTCCCCTGATATTCCAAATTAAGACATTAAACATGAATAGACATTGTTCCCTTCATAGAAGATCTATTCTGGGTCCGTCCATTATCTCCTTCTGAGTAATAGTGATTCACATCCATCAAATTGTTTCCACTACTATCATTTTGAACTTTCTTTTGGGCTCGATATTTTCTCCGACGATATTTTTGAACATGTCATTCATCCCTCAACATTTTAGAGACCTCCAGAGGAGTATCAGAAAGTACATTGCATGATGTGATTGTAATTGAGTTTTATCAGAAAGATTCAGTGCATCAGGAGGAGAAGACGAAGAAAGCCGCACCCCATCAGTATTAGAGACACTAGGAAAACCCATCTCAGGCAAAATAGTATCCTTCACAGCTCTCCCAACAAAGAGAAGATGTAGGAATAATTTGTTGAAGAGGCAAGACAGGACGACCCACATGAGGGGCCAAATCAAGAGAATGTACGTGGGGTGAGATAGTCTCGGCAGGAACAGCTGTCGGGACCTCCACCACATTTATCGCGGGAATCAAAGAAGGCTGCTCAATATTAGACTTTTCGTAACTCCCCCCTTCCGCAATTCAGAGTGTAAACGAAAACATTGATCCGGGTCATGGCCAAACATGCGACAGTGAGTACAGTAGGAAGGGTGTTACTCTAAGATTATCTGCTGCCAGTAGTCGTTATGAGCTGAACTGATCCAAACCTCATTAGGTGGAGGTAAGGTAACTTCTTGTTCAATCAAAACCCTAGCCATAGACGGTCTTGTCAAATTATAAGTGGGAGCGTCGAGCTTAAGAAGTCTCCCAAACATAGCAGCTAAAGAGAACAGAATCTCATGATTAAATAAATGAACCTTCAAACATGAAAATCTAAGCCATACATGAATAATTGGGGTTTCAGCTTTAGGGTCAAAATTAACAAACCACTTCAAGATTTTCATCGCACAATCCTCAAACAACACCAGACGCCGGGCAAAAAGACGAGTATAATCCTCCTCATTGGACAACTGAATTAAAATATGCCTTCCAGCCAAAGGACCGATCTTCCAGCCACCAACAAGCTTCATAAGCTCAAAATGATTTCGAAGGAACTCCAGCTTTGGATGACCATACAAAAATTTCCCCACCATATAGAGACGGCAGGAAGAAGCAAGATCGACATCCTCAGAGTCAGAGAGGAAGAGAGCGAGCTTACCTCCTTTCCGCCCCGGACGTCGGATGAAACTCGATTCGGTACCGAGCGCGAGAGAGTCGTGGAATACGGGAGGGAAATTAGGGATGCCACTGATGGTCACACCGGCATAAGAACGAGCAATGGAGCAAGACTTACCCGCGCGTCAAATCGCAAACCCTAGCAGAGCTGGAGCCGAAACCATCGCGTCAATTTGAATAGTTGCATACATATACATATAGATATATATGTGTGTGTGTGTGTGTGTGTGTGTGTGTGTGTGTGTGTGTGTGTGTGTGTTATGTTGTAATCAGTTGCAGCGTCAATATCTGTAACAGCCCTGCCCTCAGATGGAGCGTGGTTAGTGACGTTTGTGGCCACTGGAGGTGCATTTTTATCTTGCTTCATTTTACATCCATCAACTCTCTCTTTCCATGCAACATTTCCAAATCCAAATTGAGTGGTATATATTAGGCCCCAGACGTCGGATGAAACTCGATTCGGTGCCGAGCGCGAGAGAGTCGTGGAATACGGGAGGGAAATTAGGGATGCCACTGATGTTCACACCGGCATAAGAACGAGCAATGGAGCAAGACTTACCCGCGCGTCAAATCGCAAACCCTAGCAGAGCCGGAGCCGAAACCATCGCGTCAATTTGAATAGTTGCATACATATACATATATACATATACATATATATATATATATATATATATATATATACA